TTCTATTCATAGATCCAAAGCTACAAATCCTTGCCTTCCGGCTACAATACATTCGTACAAATTACTGCCAAGCATTTGCCGCTTGTGCCCCATAAATACCGACCGTATTTGCCTTTAATCCCCCACATACATTCTCCAGGATAATGTTGCATGCAAACTAGCTGTTCTGACATAAGTAGCATCAATATTCAGCGTAATTTATAATGCATATTATATTATGTGGGACTGTAGGCACCCATTAGGCATTAATGTTTACAATTCGAGTGTGGTTTCCAGAATCGTTTAAGTGCCCGTTTTAAATAAGAGGATCTAAACGCTTCTCTTATTGCATAAATAATTATTTTAGAGGGAAACTCGCACAACTTGATAAAGGGTGTCCCAAAATTCACTCAGGATTTAAATTTGATGTAAAACACAGTTTTGGTTTAAAATTTGTTGTCAACCTATAAGGTTTCTAAAGTTTTATTTCGAACTTCCATTGTCTATACAATTTTTGAGATCACACGGTTTTGATTGTTAAGTTATCTTCAGTCGTCTTCAGGAGAACTGGCATACATGTTCCTTCCACGGCTATTTATATTAATATCGCTGACGTGTCCTATGTGATGCATTACTATACTCGTTGCTTTATGTAGGGTCTTGACATTTTGGATATTGTGTAGCTGGGATAAACTGGGAAAACACCAAGATCATACATAAAGGAGCACACTTCTTTACCCGAAAATTAAAGGAGGCTGCTTACCTATCCAGAAACAGCAACGTGTATAGTGATGCCATCAGCAGCATCAAGACGCTACGGTTGAAACAACCAAGGCATATCTCCCGAAGAACACGGCATGACCAACTACCAGCCGCATATCACTGGCGAGGAATTAATGTAATCGCAAAAGATTTCGAAAGTGAGATATTATGTTAATCATGTACAAAAATAAGTGGTCCAAGTTGCACATACCTCTTTTATTTTCTGCCCTCCAAAAATTCCGAATTACAACGTCGCATTAACGCCTAGGATGATGATGTACATATCATTGTACTGTCTGACTGACATTAATCATTGGCCTACCTATAACGTGCAAAATACCTATCAGATTTTCATGAAGTTTCCACACAGTTATTATTATTCCAAGGAAGAAAAAGCTTGGTTTTTGAAAATCGGTCAAGTGACGGCGGTGCAAACATAAAAATCACCCAAACTTAGTTCCTTGACGTTGCAGAGGTGATCCGGAGGTTTTCAGAAAAAAATTGGTGGTGTCACAGATTGGGGGTTGGGGGAGGGTATGTCTCAAAATTTTTGGTGGTGGTATATTTATACGTTTAAAACCTCGGAAATTCTTCTTAGACATATTTCATTTTCCTGTACATTTGTCCCTGAAATTTGAATGATAGAGATGTTTTCCATACAATGCGTGTCGGGCTTCACGCAACTCATCAAGGACACGTCGATCTGCCTCGAATGCTGAGGGATACCTGAATGATGATGCGCTGATTCCTGTGTGCAACACCGTGCTGGGTCGCCACATCGCTAGGTGGTCGGTAGGCTGGATTGCAATGTTATCAAATATGTAGGGCCTATAGACTAACTGTATGAGCCTGTTTGAATTACATGATCCATTTAGTTTCTTTGTTATAAATGTTTATAGAAAACTTTTTTCTAAAAGGGAATAACTTCTGTCGAATATAATTATTTATATATTGATGACAGCGCTCCTTAGGAAGTGCAGGCTTAACCTACTTGACGCAATTTTTTTATATTCCATGTGCAACCGAGATGTTCAACTTTATTCCGTATATCTAGCGCAGTATTCATTCTTTATATGCCGCTTTTCAAATAAGATGGGAGCACAAAAATCACTTCCATCTCATAAGTCATAATATATTTAGGTCGGAATGAAGCGTATGGGACCACAGGGGATCGCAACTTTAAGAATTTCAGACTACATGGTATGCATCCGGAAATCTCAAGAGTGAGCAGAGCATCGCACGTGGAAGATTGAGCGCTCGCGCTGGAAAGTCAGACGATTGGATTTTCTTGATTTCCTGAATTGTGAAATATTTCATCATTTACCAGAAGTTTTACATGATGCCTGAATCTGGACAGTTTCATTCGTTTTGCATACGGAAGCTTTGGAACATCCTTGAGCTGGGTTACTGTATTAGGCGACTTAAGGTCTTACCAGTGCGGTGGCAAATTTTTCCCTCAACCGCACAGCCACACATAGCATGCCATAGAGCAACGAAGTTGAATTTTAGGGTATACATTGTAATACTGGCATGGTGCTGTCTGCCTAGCGATGAAGGTCGACCTATTACTGCCCCCCCCCCCCTCACATCACCAGTTTACACGACGTTTTGGGTGGGAACACTACGCTAACGTTGCCATTTTTACACCATATGAACTGGTAATACTACAAGTAACATATATGATACTATACACAACATGCTAGATAATTAATGTGACGTTAGCCTTATGCTGTTTTCAAAGTGGTCTATTTTTTATATTTTTGGGAATACTCAGTAGGTAGGTGTTGGAGCAACGAGACGCGGGCACCGGCCACAAATGGCGGAAGCCCAGAAGGAATAACATCGATTGGTCGATGGTAACCATCTGCGATTGTCATTCACTATCAATTGTCACTCGATACAGCGTTGCCAGTATTAACGTTGAAAAAATTAAAGAATTTGTAACCAGTACTATTAGATAGAAGGAGCACCATAGGTTATAAATTGTAACACTGGCATGGTGGTGCCCGCCTAGCTACGAAGGTCGACCTATTACTGGGCACTCCTCCCCTCACTCTACCAGTTTACATGACGTTTTGTGTGGGAAACATCTGCGATTGTCGTTCACTGTCAATTGTCACTCGATACAGTGTTGCCAGTTTTAACGTAAAAACATATTAAAGAATGTGTAATACATCCAATAGCTAAAATGTGAGATGCATTTTTGTTCTGTATGTTATATCTAAATGGTGTATGCCATAAGGTCATATCTTATTCATTTGAAAGGGAACATTATATGATAACGGTTGGCAACACCTTAAAAGTGTTTGATTCCAGATAAATTTGAGTTGCTTTGAGTGAAGTTCGATCAGCGATGGAATGAGATAATTATTTCTCTGCTCACTTACTTGATCCGTTTTGAATCGGAAAGATTGTTTCTAAATTAACAAAAACATCGTACATATAAATATATATAAATAAATATAGAAAACCTCAAAAACATTTCATTACAATGTACACGTACACAATTGGACATCCCTCAATCGATTAATTGTTCCTTACAGTCGATTTTCTTAATCATAATGATCGGTTCTTTATAAAATCGTGAGCCTAATCTCCACGCAAGACTTTTTCCTGGATAGGCCGGTGCGGTAATACCTCAAAATGTGAGACCTTAAAAGTAGAAGATCTCTTACTTTCATTATCACTAAATAAAAAGAAAACAATTTATCGACTAACAAAAAAAAACAATCTTTTCAAAAAAACTCGATTATCTTCATTTGTAAAATCGATTTTTAACAAATTGATTAATATTTATAAAGAAAAAAACGATTCATCGTGAACTGATTTTTCACTCATTGTCACATCCATACTGCCGTGCTGAATATTTAAAAAAAATCATTCCAGAATCATCTATATTCCAGGAAGTACCTTCGCATTTGCTAGAAAAAATATTCTGATTCAGTTAATCTTATTCAAAATGGAAGCCGTAACCATCCACTTCACATATAGCGAAGTCCCAACTATCAGCGCACCATTTATATGCTTGTCCATGCTTCAGCATCGAATCGTTCTCTAGAGGAGATGTAACCTCAAGGAATATCATCAGTTTCCTTTAAATCTGGAACACTATCTTTATTATAAACTGAACCTGCAGCTCCGCTCGCATAGAACTAGTGTAAAGTATAGCTCATTCGTTTCGCATTTGTGAGAAAGTTGCAATATTCAGAGTAATGTAATAATTACTTCAGCAATGAACAATTTTTATGCAACACTTTAATGCAACAATATATTAATTTCCTTTTTTGATAAGCTCGACAAAAAGATAGAGGTCATACTTGGAAACTTACAGAATCTTGAGGGTCATAGTCAGGTTGTGGGGAATTTGCATGTAAAGAATTAAAAATAAATGTTTCGCGATAAAAATTCATTAGATTTTTGAATGACCTTGACTGTCCATATCATGAACATACTTAAACACAATATATATGATTCGGTACCGAAAACCGACACTCGATCGGATTTGTTAGAAGTGCTTGCAAACATACTCAAGCCAAACGCTCTATCCGCACATTTAGATTTGAGAATATTTGTTGAAGTTCGCCAAGCGTGCGGACGCGGCCGAAAGTACGATGCACTTTTGATTTCCGTATGTCAATAATAGAGGTTTCCATTCAAGAACCGTTGGCCTTCAAATGAATTTGAAGGTCATAATACAGCTCACGTTCAAGGTCACCGGTATATGAATATTTTCAGACCTTACAACTTTATTACACGACATTTTTCTTCTTGAAACGTATTTTTCGAGATATTTTGTCCTCTCAGAAGTTTCTGAATACCCTCAAATACCATGAAACTCATATTCAAGGTCATGGGCAAAGATATACTACAACGTTAAATGTCCCGCTCTTTACATTTCCGGTATCAGAATAGAGGTTTTATTTAAGAAAACTGGCTTGACCTTCAAATAACATTGAACGTCAAAGTCAATGTCACGTTCAAGATCAGCAATGGGTGAACCTTTTCAAGCCATACAACTCAGGTCTCCAAAAGTTGTCTCCAGGAAACGTACCTTTCGAGGTATTTTGACCTATACATACTTTTCGAACACCCTGTTCATTTTGGCGGATAACACCATGCCAATAGCCTTCCTTGAGTTTCACTTACTAAGCGTACAAATTTTTATGTCTGTCCATATTGTGTCCAGACGTGATGCTGACAAACTGGATAGACATTCATATTTATATATGTAAATTGAATATCGATATCTTTTGTTCCAGTGTCGGAATACGACCTGCTGGACGCGGTGAAAATACCTTTCACGGACATGCGAACCCAATATATTGACGACGACGGCCACGACGGTTTCCCAGCCTTTGGCTTCCGAGCAGGATCGGATGTGAAAATCGCCCACAGGCAAATCCTGCCGGACCGACTTCCTGCAGAATTCAGCATCCTCGTTAGCGCCAAGCCGAAGAGCCGTAGGGGCGGATTTTTGTTTGCTGTTATGAATCCTTACGATACGGTAAGTTCGTTTGTTTTTATTTTGATTGAGAGCTTTTAGTGCTTAGCATAGCGCAATGATGTAGGAGCTATTCATACTAAAACTACCTCCCCCAAATCCCAGGATAAAGAAATTTTTTTAGTATACACACTTATTTTGAGGTTGAGGTAAAAGTCACTGTTTTGTAAATAGCGCTGTAGCTATAAGCTCATATACCGGGTGTTTCAAATTTGACCCTCACCATATAGTTCTCGGAAACGGTAAGATATACGAAGTCGCTTAAATGGGTTCAAAATTGCATATTCAGGTAACTAACAAAAGAAGTTTTGAAATTCAAGGTATTTCGGGAAAGAGAGACGGAAAAACCCGGATTTTCACGAAATATGTTTTATTTTTTCGTGACGTTATTTGTAGTGGTATTTCGAAATGAATTGCACGTTAACATTGCCAGAGAATTTCAATATGACGCTTCGTGTCCAGCATCAACTATATTTTTTCTTAAGTACGCCATATTGGATTTTTGCACAGATGGATGGAGTTTTTCGAGTGATTCCAAAAATATATACATTTTCATTGCCAAGACTTAGTTATTTCAAAAAACAGAATTTCCTAGATATGCCTTGAGATCAACAGATAGTCATAGACTCATATCCCAGATTTATATAGAAATCATTTTTATTTTTTGAAGGTATATGAGATGGGATTTCAAAATAAATGTCATGTTGTCATTGTCGATTTTTCTCCTGTATAATCAAATGTTCAACTTTGTTTTTTCACATGCACGCTATATTGGAATTTTGTACATATAAATGGAATTTTCAGTCCTAAATTCAGCACATGACAGTTTTTAAGGCCTCAAGTTGAAGATAGTAACATAGCTTAGCAGACCGAAAAGAAGAAAAATAGACCGAGCAGTGAAGAATTTACCGAAAAGAGTCAGGCTTTGGCTACAAAATAACCAACGTTTTGAACCTCTGCTATGATTTACCTCTGCTTATTCAAGATTATTGTTATTAGATACCATCAATATGATTTTCATTTTGTGCTCAGATTTCACCAATTTATTTTGAAATCTCATCTGAAATAAAGTCAGGATTAAATAAAAGTGGCTTTGCTATAAGTTTGGTATATGAAAGAAATGACTACATGATTCAAGACCCAGGGAATTCTGTATTTTTTTGACAATGTATGACATATTATATAGTACATTTTTTTAATCAGAATTAAAAACTATATTCACCTGTGCAAAAATCCAATGTGGTGTCTTTAAGAAAAATAGTTGATGTTGGAGAACAACTGACGAAACGTCATATTGAAATTCTAATCGCCGTCTTGCAGAGCAGAAAAACTGAATACGCAACTTTGCATCCAGTTAAGCAACTTCCGGTATAGTTGTCTACAGCGCCATCTATGAAACACTAATATTTTCAAAGTAGATTCCTAATTACTGCAGAGGGTAGAAACATAGATGTGACAAACTCTCATAGATAACACGTTAATCAATGCTTATATTAAGACGAAGTTGATTCCAGATTTGTGATACATTCATCTAACATTGAACACACATTATTCAAGCAGGGGACGGGTGAATAGAATTTTGTGACAAAAGGATGTCTTCTTGGTTCCAGGTGGTAGAACTAGGAGTCCGCGTTGCCCCAGAAGGCATCAACACAACAATCCTAACCCTGTACTACACAGGCCCCACAGAGTACTACTCCCGCGCCATAGCCAACTTTACAGTTCCCAAATTCACCGGTAGGTGGATCCGCTTCGCATTCAGAGTGGCATTGGACAACGTCACTCTGTTCTTCAACTGCGCGGAGACTGAGACTGTGCCTGTACAGCGCAGGCCTATCGAGCTTGAATTCGATAGTGCTTCGACGTTGTATATCGCACAGGCTGGGCCTACTATTGGCGAGCCGTACGAGGTAAGTGTTGCAGGTGTTTTGACATGTGTTGGTTTATCATTTGACTTAGGCCAATTAATACGACTATCTCTCACAACTTATCCATATATGAAGTTTGCTCGCATCTGTTAGATAAAACAAAGTGCAGACAACCGTCCACTTATATTAAATAGCCAAAAACTGGGCTTAATATTGAAAACTCACTTTTTTATATTAAAGCAACCGTTCAGACAGAAGCCTAAATATTGCAGAACCCGAGCTGCTATAAGGAGCCTAAAGACACCTTTTTCATCTAATTTTTGAACTGCCCAAGGTTAGTAAAACTGGGAAAATCCTTCTGTGGCAGATTGTTCCACAAACTCGACAACCTATTGACGACGGAGCGGCCATATCGTGCAGTTTTGTATGTACCAATATCGACGTGGTTATGGTGTGATTCAAAGTTAACCGGACTTATCGTTGACATAGCGGTGGAAGGCAACTTGTCGGTACGAGAGCATCCCGTTAAAGTCCCTAGAATATGATTTGACACCATTTGATTCCACATTTTGGGATGATTTGAGAACAAAGGTCTCTCTCGACAAGCTCACTGAGTCCTGTGTATGGAAAAAGGCAACTCATAGCTGTTGGGAAATGATCAAATTCGACAATTTAAGAAAAACAAGCTGTGTTATATACATATAACATTCAAAATCCGGCATTGATCTTGGGGTACATTGTTTTGATGGTCTGTAACCACTGACCCGAACATATCGCTGCAAAGAACGTGTCATTTCGTTAGTTAAAGTTTTGATGGATCTATGGTTATGGTAGATACTTCACCTAAATATGAAAATGCATAGAACATTCACCCTCCTTCCTATATGTTAAAGGCCGTGTTTCTTATTGATACAAAATTACAAATTCCGAGGCAAGTTAATCTGATTAGAATTACCGGAGCTTCACATGGTTTCAATTTAATCACTATATCTTCCTTTATCGAATCAATTTTAATTTCATAGGCAGGAACAAAGTTTAATTAAAGCTCATTACTTTTCGTAACAATTTAGTGATGGAATTCCATGCAAAATTCATTTTCATCCATGTCGAAATTCTATTCCGGTGTGGTAGGTATAATTCAACATCAAAGTTCCAACATATAGGACAAGTTTTTTTACAATCGTTCTACCTAAAATGCTCATTCATAATGTATTTCATGATTTTTTTCAAGTACTATTATTAAGTATTGAGTATTGAATTATCAATCAAAACTGGTAAGGATGATATCTTGGATTGTCTTGCCCTACTTGATAAGACTGATTAAAGTTATTCTATGATTGCATCTCGTCAATAAGGATGATCTTCCTTTCAAATTCGTTTGTCTGGCCCATTTCTCTTATTGAGAAGCTTCCTCGAAAGCCAATAGTGGATGTGCAAGTAGCATCGTGGCTAGAATTCTAGTAGGCATGCAAAGTATCTAATAAAAGTAAATAGATCGCAGTCAGCATGGTTGGAGCTACGTGCACCGTTGGCATCAAATCCATCGGTCACGTATGCCACATACATATAGAAGCCAACAAAAATGTAATGGGAATGTTACACCGCAGAATGTCAACACCGTCATCAATGTCGAAAACATATGTTCTATGTTCTTTGCTGTTATAGTCCAGTGCATAATGGTACCAATAGTATGAAACTGTTACAACCGGTTCATCCTTATTGGGAATCATCGGCATGGTCCAGATGGGACAACAAAGGAAACCAAAGTAAAACAAACTGTCAGAGGTATGAACTTGAACGAAATACGGTACCGCAAGCACTAGAGAATTTCAACAGATGAAGAGCAGGCGGTGGGATTATTCTTCAGGTTAATTAAGGTAGTTTTCGCACCAAGATACGGCAATATGTACCGTCTTATGGGAAAGGCGTAGATCCTACACCCCCTCCCCCAAATCTTTTGAACAAAAACATGCCAAAGTATTCATGTAAGGCGATGACAATTGGACAAACATCCTGCCCCATCTCCCGAATTAGGCCTCATAGGTTTCATAGGACCTCCATAAGGCTAATCAGAGCTACTAGTTTACACATTTATAGTGAAAAATCAGTCTTGAAAGAACTCAGTATGGGATGTGTATCTGAAATAGCTCGACAGTACTGAAGTATAAGCTCAAGAAACTTTGCATTATATCTGAACATTTTTTTAAAACCCTGAACAACATTTTAAATGTGAGTCATGTAGACTTAGAACAGTTTTACTATGTACGTATTAGTTTATATTATCCATAGTTCACAATAAGAATATTCTTATAAAAAAAGTCGTATTAATTGACCTAAACTAGATTTTTCACCAATCTACAGCACAAAGGCGATTTTATTATATAAATGAATAAAGTATAATTTGGCTGAACACCAAACGTACCAAATGTTGGTAAAAGACATTGACGATCAAAAGAATGACATTTAGGTCATCTAGAAGCGACATACAAAAAACTTATGAGGATATGTAACGTTCGTATCAATAAATATTAACCACCAAAATAAAATCGCCTGAGCATGTATATGATTTTGTGAAAGTATAGTTTTTTCAACCTTACATCTGACTATTACTTCTCTGCGAGATCATCAAAAGTGAATACCCAAATAAACCATATATGACAGACGGTCTTTGATGAATGTATGTTGCAATGATATGGCAACAGCAAACGTAAAGGAGCGCAATATATTTACGCTATAACACACACTGTTATACAGGTCTCTAATGAACTGAGGAGGGAAGAGTAATAACTGAGGTAGAAGTTATTGATCAAAGAAAATGAACTTGTGCAGAATGCAAAAGCATATGTAGGATGTTTCATAAAAACACGCGACATCACTCATTCCATGTAGTAGAGAAAAACAAGGCGGCTTCAAAACAAATGAACAGGATACGCAGGATTGCTCCCCCTCATACGTTTTGGAAACTCACGTTAGGGCGGCAATAAGTCTGAGAGCAGAGCCATCTATTGGCGACCACCAAATGTATGAACCTCCAGAAGGAGCTCGATTAGTTCCGAGTTTCTAGAACAGGTCGACAACAGGTGACAGACAGGTATAAAGTTGGGTACCGAAATGGTAAAGACCAGCAAAACGCATCGCTCGCTCCTGCTAATGCGGCATCTCTCATAATACGCTGGGATACGTGCACACCGTCTTTGTCAATTCTAAGGCACGCCGCACCAGCAGTGGCGCGCGACTCTGGTTACGTCTGGCTACTACTGGTGACAACTGGTCACTGTCACGTGTGGCCTCGTACGCAGAAGAAGGTTAACATTCAAAGAGCTACACAATCAGCATATTTGCCTGTTAGACGAGGAAAAAGCCTCGCATCCATGGGAGAAATATTCCGACTCTTCGTTTTTACTTCCTATCCCAAAACTAGCGAGACGGTATTGTAATCGCAAAAAATTTCGAAATTGAGATATAATGTTCTATGGATGTTATATGACATGTACATGTACATCACTGTCCGCTAATTTCGTAACCGCCTATAACTTTTTTTTTATATTCCAACAACCACGAAGGCCTAAACACCCATAGGGTACCGTGGGGCTATAGGGGGATACAGGGGAAAGGGGCAGCGCCACATGGACTCTGGTGAGGGAACCCGTGTATATGCAACATGCACACATTCTGGCCACGCCTACGAGATCCGCCGGGTGGTACCTCTGCGTTCGACAGTCAGAGACCGTCTACCACCTACGGACAATCACAACAACTTGAAAGTACTGCTTGGTTCTTCACGAAATTTTCACACAAGGTTACTACTATGACAGGGATGAAAAAACTTTGTAGTTTTTGAAAATCAGTCTGGTGGTGGCGGAGCTAGGAACAAAAACAAGAGAAAAGTAAATATCGCTTAAACTCTTAAAATCGTTTTTTAACGTTCCAGATCAGTTTCGGATTTTTTTTTGTAGAGGTTCAAACTATAAATGTAACGCCTTCAGTATTAGTTGATGTTCTATCATTAAGCTTTTGATCTCTGTAACAACGAGAAAATTAAATGTCAAAGGTTCGATGTACGAGTATATTGTGTTCATACTTCGAAATAACTTGGCAATAGTTGATGTTGCGCGCATGGCGCGATGCTGCATCATCGTAGAGGCGACCGGCGTCTATTCAATGGGTCACAAACTCCAACTGGTTTGCGTTAATGTCGTCACTGACACACCGTTACAGAATAAATATTTATAGATTTCAGCAATATTTGAATATTAGGAACGCGTACCACTTTAGGGTTCTGCGATGCTTTTGTTAATGATGACTTGACTGTTTTCAACACGCTTTTATAAGGTTGGCGTGTATGTACGTATGTAGGTATTTCTCAACAAATTTAGAAAATTGATTTTGCATTTCTTGAAAAAAAATAATGAAAATATATCCTTTTTTTGTAGAAATATAAAGTTTTACTCTTGTGAGGTTTATTTAAAATGAAGGTCCTCCATATTTTTGTGTATAACATCTAGAATAATGACTTTTAAAAAACTATGAAATGAGGGAATTACTGATAGGATGGGGGAATGATTTTTACAACTTGATGCTGAATTTCAATAAAAACGTAAGTTAATTTATTAATAGATGTATTGAGATGTGTTTTATACTTTAGCGAGCTTAGATAGTCCTTCTTCCCTGGGCACATTCTCGTATTTTCATCCTTCTCTAAAAAATTAACAACATCAACCTTAACATTCAGCATTGTGGAGCTAACTTTACGAGTACAGTTCTTTTTGTACGTAACGTTTTTGAAAAAATGTTTCGATCTATATAGCATTTTGTATGTTTGCACTAATTGCAGCTTCAACATTTTGTAATATTTTTTCTTTTCTCCATGTTTACTTCCAAGATCTTCATAGTTATTTTTGAGGCCCGTTGACAGTGTGTCTCCAAAAATGAGTATTTCTTACAACGTCAGGAACTTGTATATTCTCTGAAAGCGAAGACACTTCACTTGCTGGAGAGTTTGGGTCAGTATTTTTAGTTTTCCAAACTTTTAATCTTCGCGTACAGAACAGCTTGCCGCTTGCGCATTGAGAGCAGATAAATTCTCAGCTCTGTGCTATAAAGATGATGCAGGATTTGGTGGGAGTTGCTTCTTCAACTATTCGCTGTAAATT